TTTTCACTTTGAATTTTTCAGTTACACAGTGTGTCATATAAATCATTTTAATTTATTAGGAACAACAATTTGCCACAATCATTTCTTCAGTCTCATGTTTGAAGCCCCAGTGAAGATTTTTTTTTTTTTTTCGCTAAGTCTGACAGAATAATAGGACTTACTGGTAGTGATTCTGAGGAACCCTGCAGGAATTTATTTTTCCAGAAAGATCATCGTGGGGAAAGGCTGCATGACGACCATGTTAGTGTTGCCTTTTTTTTTTTTTTTAAGTGGCTGACTCATAAATTAGAAACTTGATTCTCTCTCCCTGGCTTTGGACGGTTTCCTAATGAGCAGAAAGGCTGTTTTATTTATTTATTTACTAACTGATGTGGATTCAAACCCCTGATAGCACTTTAACACTTTACTGACTGTGGTTGTATTAGTGCTGCAGACACACGGTGTTGGTTTGCTTACCAGGAAAAACTTTTTGCCTCTTCTCCACTCAAGTATTGGACCCAGGGCCAAACACATGCTATTTTTTTTTCCAGATTATCATTACATTTTAGCACACTGAACAAATTTGATACTGATTAAACTTAAATATTACTTTAAAGTAAATACATCTACTTTATTTTCCATATCAGTTAAAAAAAAATAACTGTAGCTTCCTTTCTAAAATATCTAAATACATTCGTTTTGGCAGCAGCCAAATAGTAAAAATGGTATTTTATTTTCAAAAATGTAACAACACACCCAGTAACATTTTTAGAAAATCCAAATTTGGATTAATTAGTCCTTGGAAAATATTAATGTTTGATCTTAGTTACATATTCATCTGACTGCTCTAAAATTCCTGTGATGTGCATGTCAAACCATTTCATGTGTTCTTAGGATAACTATGGTAGGTTTGATGGTAGGTATTATTTTTAAGTAGCAGGTACAGATGGAAGTGTAAAAGAAGTGAAATGAGTCTTCCAATGTCCCTAAAAGATATACCAGGGGAGTTAGAGAACACCTAGAACTTATTGCCAAAGCCTTGCTAAATAGACACACACTGGGATCTCATTTTTTCTGCACTGATATGACCATTTTGCCAAAGTAGCAGGAGAATAAGGGAATCATTTGCTGCATTCACAGGCCTTCAGGCGAATGGATGAAAGTGATAACGATACACAGTTTATATAAAGAGTCGGTCCAATTTCCCTGGTAGGCAGAGTAGGTACTCACATATGTTGTGTGATTTGAGAGATAACAAAAAAGTTCTCCTTGTTATGTATCCCCTGAATTGCTTTTATTAAGGTTAGAGAGCTTCAACAAGAGTGAACTATCTATCTTCATGCAATTTTTTCTTTTACTCCTCAGTGCACATCAGCGAGTAAAGTGCTGCAGTCCCCCACGCCACCCTATTCCCCCTACAACTTACTTTTGTTTGATTTTCTTTGTCCCCAGCTCTCAGTTTAGATACTCCTTCCTTACAAGGACTTCTCTAAGGCCCTGGCTCTACCCATCAGCAAAGAAGGAGTTTTACATTTTTAAATAGCTGGAGAAAAGATCAAAAGATAAACATTTCATGACATAGAAACAGTATAAGAAATTTGAAGTTCAGTGTCCATAAATAAACTTTCATTAGAACATTCCATTTGTTCACACATTGTCTATGGCCACATTTACTATGTAACAGCAGAGTTGAGTAGTTTTGGCATTTTGTGTGGCATCAAAGCACAAAATATTTATCATCCGGTCCTTTACAAAACAGAAAAAGTTTGCCGACCCCTGCCGTAGGCTCTTTAATCAAGTTAAGTTCTTAAGAGCCCATAGCACTGTCATGGCTAAATGTGTATCTTCTATAGGGGAGTTTAAGCTTCATGGGGCAAGTTTATCTTGCTCAGTGTAGTATCTCCAACATCTACAAGAGATGTCAGAGCGTACAGTAAGTGCTTGACAATGAGATGACAAATTTATTAACCCTTCCTAAGAATGTTTTCTTGTGAATGCGTTTGTAGATAGTGTAATTCATACTGAGTTATTCCTTTATCAGTCAGTTAAAAATTATTTGCAAGTAACTCTCCTCCTGGCTAAAACAAATGAACAACAAACAAACAAACCACAGATAGTAAGGCAGCAGTGATTAAGGAAGAGCCTTACCTAGAGTGAATATATTTTATTTCTCATCAATGATCAAGTAAAACAAGGTTAATATTAGGTATAGTGGGTTTTTTTGTTTGTTTGTTTTTGTTTTTCATTTATTCCAATCACCTCTATCTGAGGAATGAAGGAAGAACTAGAATTTGATGTGAAATTTTATTTCTGGCTATATGAAGAAGTCTTCTGGTAAAAATATTGTTTTAGTACTTAATAACCATGGAAATTACAACTCTTCTAGATTCATGATGTTATTGTCACGAATAACACATGAAAGAAGATGCATGTGGTCTGTAACTAACTTGTAGAGATGGTTAAGTAGCCACAAACTATGAAATCCACAGGTGATAGATGCTGTGTTAGTTTGCTAGGGCTGCCCTAACAAAAGTAACACAGATCAGATGGTTTAAATAACAGAAACATATTTTCTTGCAGTTCTGGAAGCTGGAAATCTGAGATCAAGGTGTTGGCAGGGTAGATTTCTTCTGAGGCCTCTCTGTTTGCCTTGTAGACATCCATCTCCCTGTGCTTTCACATAGTCTTTCCTGTGTGTGTGTCTATGTCCCATTTTCCTCTAATAAGGACACTAGTTGTATTGGATTAGGGCCCACCCCAATGACATTTAAATTTAATTACTTCTTTAATGACCCTATCTCCAAATACAGTCACATTCTGATGTACTGAGGGTTAGGATTTTAACATACGAATTTGAGGGGACACAATAACACCATAACACCAACCATAATGTTCAAGAAAATCCCTATCCACAGGTTTTTATGGCCCGAAAAAGGGCACACAGCAAAGCCATACCTAAAGCATACCACTTGGGATAGCAATTTTTCCAGTGAAGACCTATATCTTAGGCCTTGATATAAATACAAATCACTGTTCACTGATTCAAGTTTATGGTTTTGTTCATATGTGTCCTCCTTGCTCAAGTAATTGATTCTCTAATAAGTGGCATGTTATAAATGTAATGGTTTCCTATCAATACGAACAATATCATATTATTTCCAAGTATCTAAGCAACTTTTAGTGCCAGAGTGAGATATTTTGGTTGTGTTTATTCAGTCATTTATTTATCAAAACATATTTAAATGAGATGGTCATGNGGTCGCGACCCACAGGTTGAGAACCGCTGCAAGCAGAAGAAAGAGAAGATGGAAAAGCTGTTAAAAATAATTCAGACTACTTGGGTCACTTCAAGTAAACTGGAATAGCCAGGGAAACAGGGATGTTCCAGGGGGACATATTCTGGTTAACTATCATTATGTGACAAACTATCTCAAGACTAAGTGTTTAAAACAACAACTTACTATGTCTCACAATTATAAAGATTGATGGGCTCAGCTGGGGCCTCTCATGCAATTGCAGCAAGATGGTTGGGGCTGGATTCATCTTAAGACTTCTTACCTTGCTCTCTGGTTCCTAGGCTAGAATGGCTGGAACAGCTAGAGTCTAGTGAGGCATCTCCCTCTCGACATGGCCACTCCAGGTGGTTCGCTTGGGCTGTCCCCCACACAATGCAGTCTCAGGGTAGTCATATCTTTTACATGGCAGTTTCTCCTAGAGTGAGATTTCCAAGACACAGGAAGTGAAAGCTGTTAGTTTTGTAAGGCCTGTACTTGGAAACTGATGCAAGGAGATTTCCCCATACTTTGTTGGTTGAAGGAGCCAGGAACCAGTCCAAGTTCAGGGAAGAGGACATAGACTTTAGCTCTGAGTGGAGAAGGGTCAAAGAATTTGTGACCATTTCTAATCTGCTTCAAGGTGTGATGAGAGACAGGACTCTAGAGCAGGTTGGCAGGACATCTATATTCAGAAGGGGCCTTGATGACATTCAATCATGTTTGAAATTTACCTGGTAGGTAATATTAGAGACATTTTAGGTTCTAAACATGGAAATACTAACTCTTTAGATGTTACACCTGAAGACAAGATAAAACAGATTCTTTTCTTCTAAAATTGTAGTGAAAACATGAGAAACCTAAGGGAAAGTAGAAAATAATATACTACTCTAATTCCTAAAGGTTATAATTTCTTTCTAGAACTGCTTCCTGCAGAGAAATTCTCTAATGGCCACAGATAGGTCCTAAGAAACAGAGAGATATAGTTGTGACCAGGATGTGTTACGGATAAAAGTTGAGGTTGGAAAAGGGCCTTTGCCTAGTACTCAGAATTTCTTCTTTAGTTTGATTTACACAGAGACCGTTTTGGAGCGGGGGAGTTAACCGAGCTTGGGAGAGTTGACGTTGCCATTTTTGTATAGTTGCTATGGAAACTCACCTTAGAGGCGCTAATCTCATTCTCTAGTAATTCCTTAGCAGCTAGTTCCATGAAGAGTGTAGACATAGTCCATTTTCTATATACATTTACATAAGCATTGATTAACATTTTCTTCCCATCATTTCTAAAATTAGGGCCCAAGAATTTAAAAGTTGCTCATGGAAGGAGAGTTTATACAGTTATGAAACTTAAAGCAATCTAACTTTTGTCAACAAAATCCCATCTGGAATTTCCATGTGTGGGAGATTTCCATCAAAATGGAAGAATTCTTATTTTATTCATAGATTCCTAGGTACTAGGAGTAAGTACCTGATACGGATAAATGTGTTTCTTTCCTCACCATGAAAAATGGACCACAGGCCTCAAAATAGTTTCCTCTTCCCTAATTGTTTTCCTAAGGCACAGGGCTTTATGAGTATTTATTTAACAAACATTTGCATCCTGCTTATTACGTGCCAGGCATGACTTGAAGTACTTTATAAATACTAAATCATTTTCTCATCCTTACTATCCTAGAAGGCAAATGCTGTTATCATTATCCCCAGTTGTATAGGTGAGATACAGAGCATTTAGGAACACAGGTAATAAAAGACAGAGTGGAGATGTAAGCCCATGCAGTTGGGCTTCAGAATTCACGTTCTTAAACACTATGTTTGGTTTCCTCTATTTTCCCCTTAACACTAGTATTTTAGCCTTCACATAACTCTATTTTAGCCTTGACCCATACTATTATAATTATTGTAAGCTCCCTGAGAACTGAAGTCCTGCCTTATTCTTCTGTGCATCCATAGTAGCTGGTATTCCACTTAGCAACTAGAAGGCTCTCAATAAATAGGTTTGCCTAAATGAATGAAACTGGTTAATAGTAAGAGGTATAAATGATTCCTAGACCTTCTGATCTGTCATTCCGCAGGACTGTGCTATCCAACCATTATGATGTCTACACATGCTTTTCATTTTTAAGCACAATTGAGGTGAATTTTTATATTTACCCCATTTCTACTTTCTCTTGTATGCATAAGCACTCACATTTTATTGCTCTCTAGAAAGATTCATGGAAAGTCTTACAACTGGAATTTGATTCCAAGGCAAGTATTAATTGGTAAAGAATGCACGAGCATTAAATATTGTATATGAATCAGACGGTCTGTTGGCATTTCTGAATCAGATAGCTCGTATCATAATGAAATTTTAAAAGAAATGACATTTTGCACACTAACTAATAGTTTTTAGCCCTGTTGAAAAATCATTTCTTTAACACGAGTAGGTTAATCAAGATTGATTTCTGTGAACTATAAATTCCTACGTATACAATCTAATGGAGAGCATTGTTTACAAAAATGTCTCTATTACAGACAGAGTCCCTGAAACATATATCACTTGCCAATATATCATAGAGATTTGAAAATGTATAGGATTCAGCAAATACTTTTCATTTCATTCTTTCATTTTTTTGATAAGTTTTTATAGTGATGACAAGTTCTAATATAGGAAAAGTCATACTTTAATCATTGAACTATATAGTTCTATTTTGAAACAAACTCTTGACAAATAGAAAAGTTTAAAAAATATTTTTTCTTAGAAAAGAAGGTAAGTTTTTGAGAAAGTCACAATTATAATCCTGATTCCTCAAGTTTATTGATTTGAGTTTTTGCTTAGAAGAATCCATGCATTTTTTTCTTCTGAAAATGAGACATACCTACATAAATATATATCAGAAATAGTTCCAATATTTGCAAAATATTTTGTCTGAAAATTCTTAATTACAAATGTTCTGTTTTAAATCTTCTCTGAAAATGAATTTATTTAAAATGTGAATCAGGGCCGGCC